TTTTTTTTTTACAAAAGTAACGGAAAGTAACAATTTTTTTATCGTTACTTTTCAAATAACGGTAATGCGTTACTTTTTAGAATCAGTAACGAGTAACGGTAATGAATTACTTTTTACCGCAAATAACGGTAACGGTAACGCGTTACTTTTAAAAAGTAACGTTCCCAACCCTGCGTTATAGCCAGCGTCGCGCCGAGGGTAGGAAATTGGGGACATTGGTGCGACATTGGACCAATTCTATAATTGTACATGGGTGGATATTAATACTGCGCCAATACTGCAACAAACATTGGCTCATTATTGGTCGACGTTTATTTACCAGTACTGGTGAACAACTCTGAGCCAGATCTGAAATGAGCCTTGGACCGAGGTTATCATCCAGATAGTAGCCACTGCTGCGCCAATACCTCTTCTTAATGCTACGCCAGCAATGCAACTCTGCAACCAGTACTGACTTGTTATTGGCCCACTCGTAAAACCCTCTATGGGAAGCTAACCAACCCGTAGCAACATCAGAACTGAAGTCTATTTTTGATTTTATGACTTTGATTTTGGCTTTATCACTTTGTTTACAGTCGTGCGAATGGTAACTCACGTGAAGCCAGACATATTTATGCAGGAAGATATCTCCAATGCAATTTACCGTTTCGTCAAACATTTGCGAACATTCACCTGTATTTCGGAAACTAAACCGTTTAGGACACATGTTTATATGAACTTTTTTACTTGAAATAAACCAAAGAATCACTCTGTTGAGTATGGAAACATACTTAACTAATACCTTGTATATATGCAGGGTGTCCCGCGTAAGACGTGTCAAAAGAAAAATGTAAGTAGAACAGATAAAGGTAAACAAAAATTGTAGAGGTCATTTTTCAAACAACCGAGATAAAATTTTGAGATATTAATTAAAATAGTTGGGCATATCAAAGCGCGGCGACGCGGCAGGCGGACATACGGCTCGCCGCGACCGGCGCAAAAATTCGATGATTGCTCGTGGACCTATCTTATAGGCCAGAGAGTTGGACCGTTTGGCATATGGAAATGAGTAGCTCCGTGTGTGCGTCCGTGTACGTGTGCGTCCATTTTCTTCGTCGTATGTCGCCGTATATATAAGGGTGTTTCACTTTAAGTGATATGGTCGATTATCTCGCGAATCGATGATTTTATTGAAAAATTTTTCTAACGAAAATTGCATGGTTTGAAGGGAGACACATGATGAAAATGTGGACTTGACCTTGAGCGACCTTGTCAAAATCAAGTCCAGGTCATAAATGTTTTTTTAAATAGAAACCCATATTTGTGTTACATATTCTTGTAGCTTATCGCGAGAGCTTTCCAAAACACTGTAATAAAGTTACGTGTTATTGAGTACTTTCCGCGTTATGGAGCTTGAAAGTTAAGGCAAGACCGATCACTGATCTTTCTGCTCTACAATAATTTCGTCCAGCTTCACCAAGCACAAGAATAATATTAACGATTTTATTTGAACTATAAGCGGACATTTTGAAAAAAGCTTTGAAAAAGCTCACTTAAGTAAAAAATAAAAAGAAAAAGCTACACAAAAAAAGAGAAAAGTTGAATTGTTCAATTTGGAAGGATTGGACTCAATTCCGTGCGCGTGAGAGTATATCAAGCAGTGCAGATAGATCGCGGAGACGCGCGCGCGTAAGAATCTCGCTTACACGCGTATGCGTACATGGATAACGCCGGCGGTACTGTAACTTTCAAGCTTCATAACTCGGAAAGTACTCAATAAAACGTAACTTTATTATAATTTTGGAAAGTTCTCACGATAAGCTACAAGAATATGTAATAAAAAATAGGAGTTTCCGTTTAAAGAAACATTAATGACCTTGACCTGATTTTGACAAGGTCACTCAAGGTCAAGCTCACATTTTCATCGTGTATCTCTCTTCAAGCTATGCAACTTTCGTTTGAAAAATTTTTCAATAAAATCATCGATTTGCGAGATAATCGACTATATCACTTAAAGTAAAACACCCTGAATATACATGGTGAGTCATCTGAATCTATCACCTCCAATAACTCGTTTGTGTGGCCAGGAATCGAAAAAAGTTTCATATAAAAGTTGTAGGGTTTCGAGGGGGAACCAAAATGGCATACCTTTCAACTTTTCATTTTGACCGAAAGTGGGTTACTTCAACCGGAAGTGGTTTTTTTAAAATGGAAACCCCCC